CTAACACAGCCCTTTCTGCAAGCAAACAAGTCCACAGAATTTATTAAGGTGAATTTGGGCACTTTACCTTCAATGCAGCAGCACGCCAAAACTTTCTGTGAAGGGGAGATGCTTCCCCCATCTCCCTTCCCAAGGATGACCTCGAGGAATTCACCCTTTATCCTATAGGAAATGCCTTTTATTTTCATAGTGGGTCAGAGCCTCCCTTCTAGCCATCGTGCCCTGCATTGTGTCCTCTTGCCAGGTCTGATGTTTCCTACAAGTGATCCCCTTTCTGTGCATGTTTTTTACAAAATCTTTGAGAGATCTTACTTTTTTCACTCCACTAGATTCTTTCCAACTGTTATCTCTTTTTGTTGTTGTTGTTGTTTATTTTGGGGGGGGTTTGATTGTTTGTTTGTTTGCAACAGTAGCAGATGTACAATTAAAAATCACAGAGGAAAAAAAGAAACGGTAAATAGCACAAAGGAAAAATAAAAGTTTTGTTCTTATTTTTGGGTGGTCCTGTGTGGAGCCAGGATTTGGACTTGATGATCCTTATGGGTCCCTTCCAACTTGGGATGTTCTGTGATTCTATGATTCCATGAATTAGAATCATAGAACTGTAGAATCATAGAATCCTTAGAGTTGGAAGGGACCTCTGAGGGTCAGTTATATAGCTGTGATTCCCAGGGCTGGGGGTGTTTGACTGTGATGGAGAGGATTATTAGAACATTAGGTATTTTATCCATATGAACAACCCATAGGCAATCCTCCCATCCCTCAAAGCGCTCTTAAACCAAACAACACAAAGGCTTAAGAAAGAAAAAGGTGAAAAATTACTCAGAACCTTAAAAACAATTGGCAGCCCATTAAAACTGCCACTTTTTATTGTGTTTACTTCCAAAGCAGTGAACACTCTGGGATAAACTTTAATGAATAAATGAGTGTGTATGGCTGTAGATTCCCCAGTGATGTTGAATGGCCTCAGGTTCAGCACCCTGATGAACTGAGTCCTGGATCTATCCCTCTTAGACACCACTCTTAATAGTGATTCTTCTTGGGGATAAAGAGCTTTATCTAATAGTAATTTCAGCTTTTATCTTTCAGTGGCTTATCTAGAGAGTTTATCTAGGCAGAGGTGGAGTTTTATCTAAAGTTAGAAAACTCAAATGAGTGCCAAAAAAAAGCACAAAACATCAAACTTTGGACATCCAAGCAGTGTTTGCTTTTAACTTATGGTTCAGTGAACATAACACAGCACAGGGCAAAGAGTTTGGTGGCTCTGAGTGGTTTATTGTTCTTTGGGTGAACATTAAAAGGCAGTTAATGGCGTATTAAAAGAGTATTTTGGGTTAATATGTAACAGTCTGTCTGAACTGAGGTCGCTGAGCTGAGGCCAAAGCAAAACCTTGCTTCAGAGCATGGGTGGTGCTGAGAAATAGCTGCACGTTCTGAACTGATGTTAACAAATTGTTCCTGGTGCCCCAACTCTGAGCTGCTTTTTTGTATTTGGGTATCTGGGATTCAGTCAGGCATTCTGCATCCTTTGTAGCAAATTGTATTTGACCAGCTGTGACAAGAGCTAGCTAGAATATTGTGTTCAGCACATTAACTACAAGACTTTTGGTGGGACATAAAAAAGAGATATAAGCTTGAAAGAATCAAAGAGAAATTAATCTCACTGTTAAAAAAGTGGATGAGTTAACCCTGCATCAAGGACTGCAGTGATGTGAGAAGTGTGTTTTTGTTCTATTTATTTTTGGCATGGTTTAGTAATCCAAAGGAAAAATCTCCCAGATAATGGAGCACAGAGCTGTGCAGGGTCATTGCAAAAGAGAACATTTTCTGGGAGTTCATTTTCTGTCCCAGGCAATGAAGGAAAGTGTGCTGATAGTGATAGGAAACAGCATGCTGGGAAGTGAAAGGTCATTGGAAAGTCCTGGCTGTTTGTTACTTTCTGTTATTTTAAAGCTTTTGTTTCCTTTCTAAAATGTACTTCTGAAAAAAAAAAAAAAATGAAAAGAAGAAAAAAAAAAGAAAAACAACTTTTTTTTTTTTTTACAAGCCTTCAACTGCTTCATGGAGCAGGGAGAGAGGAGGAGAGGAGAACACAACAGGGCTTACTGCCCTAACTTTCTGTGCTGTTCTAGCACCACACCATGCCTTTATTTCACATTTAATGACCATGGGTGGTCATTACAAGGTGTTGTTCACTGTTATGTTGTATTCTCCAGATCTTCTCTTCATCCTTTTGATAGAATGTAGGGCATGTGCTGCTTTGCATAGAGGAGTTAAAGAAAAGTCCATGATAGTTAAAGAAAAGTCCATGACTCCTTAGCCTTGTGTCCACCACATGGAGGGTTTGAGTGGGTGCCTGCCCTCAATGCCTTACATAGCTTCCATCTTATGGTCAGGCCAAGGTGTGCAGTCATAAAATTATTTAGGTTGGAAAAGACCTATAGACCAAACCCAACCTATTAGCACCATGCCCACTGACTGACCATGTCCCTCAGTGCCACGTTTCCATGGTTCTTGAACACCTCCAAGAACAGTGACTTCACCACCCCAATGGGCAGCCCGTGTCAATGCATTGCCATTCTTTCTAAGAATAATTTCTTCCTAATATCCAGTCAAACCACCATGTCCTGTAACCTCCCCAGCTGTTTGACCGGGAGCTGTGTGTCCGTCAGCTGAGGTACTCAGGGATGATGGAGACCATTCGGATCCGCCGGGCTGGCTACCCCATCCGCTATACATTTGTGGAGTTTGTGGACCGATACCGGGTGCTTATGCCTGGGGTGAAGCCAGCATACAAGCAGGTGAGTGTCTTCTTCCATTGCCAATAATTGATCCCTCTGAGGTGTTCAAAGGAGTTGCATCCTCTCCGAATGCAATTGCACAACATTTGATCCCCAGATGTGGCAGCAGTGCTCTGGGATTTTCAAGTGAAAGAAGAGTGGTCCCGGGACTGGCAGGGACAGAGAGCTGAGCACCAAGGGGCCCTATTCAGCCATTACCACTCCCTCCCCTTAAATGTGGTGAGAAGTTAATTAGCAGAAAACTACTGGAGTTTAGATCAGAAAGGGTCAGCAGTGAGCAGAAAGGGTGAAGCTGGTCCTGATGAACAACATTTCCATTCCCACTAGGGGGACCTGCGTGGGACATGCCAGCGCATTGCTGAAGCGGTGCTTGGAAAGGATGATGACTGGCAGATTGGCAAGACAAAGATATTCCTGAAGGTACTGGGCTCCCTGCATCAACCTGCTATCCAGGATCCCTGTTGATGAAGGGGCCTCCTACCAACCCTTTCCATCACAAGACGTGACCCTTACATCCGGTCTCTGGGCTGGCACAGCAATAAGCAGAAACTGAGCCAAGGCAGGATATTTGGAGCTGGTTTAGGAAGTGTCAGGCAGGAGGAAGTCCTGACACGCTGCCAGCCCTGATGCGTGCACATGCTCGTACAGACACAGAAATAGTCACATTAAACTCACAGCCTTTTCCCTCTTAGGCTGAGATGCTTTATTTAGGATCCTGCCTTCACCCAAAGCAGAGCACAAGGAGAGGTGTGCATGCAAAGCCCTGCAGAAAGAGGGATTGAGAGTACAACAAGCTCAGTTTGGTTTTGGCATGTCCTTGCACAACACAGGGCATGCCTACAGTTTACCTCTCTGCATTGGTTCAGCTAACAGCCAGCATTTCAGGTTTCCCAGTAGCCCCCTGAATGAGACCATCCACTGACCATTTATACTGCATTCTCCTTACAAACAGACTCCTGCATTATGTTTGGGCCATGAGGTTGAGCTGACCAGGAACCAGAATGGAAGCAAAGCCTTCTCTCAAACAAAAATCTCAGATGCCACTAGATTCCGATGGCTTATATTTAAATAACACTCACACCTCACCTCCATCCCTTCCCTAGAAGCTGTTTCTACTAGTCACTCTTTCCAGAGCCTGTTATCAAGATCCCACAGCTGTTAGGGCAGGAAACAGAAAAATTGGGAGGCCCTGAGGGGTAGCGTGAGGTCAAGCAGAGCAGGAAGCATGTGGACTTGCCTCCACTGCACCCAGTGTGGCAGGGCTCAGCATGCTGCAACTGGGACAGAAAGTGGAGCTCAGTGTGAGAGGAATGAAAAAAAAGCTTAGATTGGTGCATCTGAATGCTTCAGGACAAAGAAATTCCACGTAATGAAACTGTTTTGTCCTTAGGGTATGGAAGAACTGCAGCTTTAGCTGGAGGGAGTGATGTGGCCAAGGCAGTCTGAGGTTTGCTCCCAAACCTCTCCAGTGCTCCTGGGACTTGTTCCTGTGGCTAATGGCACTGACAGGGAGCTCACCATGGAAGGGCAATATAATTTGTGTGCTTTCAGACACGCAAAGTTCAGCATATTCAGCCTGTTGCTGCTCTGGTTCAATTGGGAATTAAGGCAGTGAATCACTAAGATTTATGTTAAGATTTCTCCAGGAGAAGGTAAGGAATGCTCAGGAATTAAAATGTCCAAAGAGTTTGTTTTGGTCTTCTTCCCTTGTGAAGGGCCTTGCATCACCTTTACTGCCACATTTCAAGTGATTGTAGATTTTCACACATGAGTACTGTGTTGTTTCCCCCCTCAGGATCACCATGACATGCTGCTGGAGATTGAGAGGGACAAGGCCATCACAGACAAAGTCATCCTCATCCAGAAGGTTGTGCGTGGGTTCAAGGACAGGTAACCAACCTTTCTGTTGGCTGGGATGTGGGCTAACAAGCATCTCCCATGGGATGCATTGTTCCCTTTTCACCCATCTGACCTGAGCTGCCCATAGCTGGGAAGAGGGGACTTGGCATGCAGTTGCAGCAAATATTGGAGGAAAACAATAGAAAAAATAGAAGTAAAATTATTCCTTGCCTCAAATATGGACAGAGTAGAACCTTCTGTTCCTGCTTGGCGGTGTCTTCAAGGGAGCAAATATTTGTTAAGTGAGACTCTACTGAAGGCAACACTAAGCCCCCAGTCTGCAGGAGATCCCCACAAGACTGCAACGGGGCTATTGAATCCTCTATTACAACTAACGTTGTTCCCATCTTAGAATTGCAGAATCGCAGACTAGTTTGGGTTGATCAGCTTTTGGCGGATCAGTTTGCCCAAAGCCCTGTCCAACCTGACCTTGAGCACTTTCGAGGATGGGTCACCCACATCTTTTCTAAGCAGACTTTACCAGGCTCTCACCACCTTCAGAGTGGAGAATATCTTCCTAATATCTAATGTAATTCTACCTTCTTTTAATTTGAAGGCATTACACTGTCCTATTGCTACACTCTTTGATAATTACTCTTTTCCAAGCTTTAAGCCCTCTTTAAGCCTTCTGGAAGTCCTTACCACAGCAATCCTATAGAGATCTCTGTGTTATTGTGATGCTGCTGCTCCCAGGGTGTCTATGCACGTGATCAGACCAGTCTCAGGAGCATGTAGTGAGCAGATGAAAGTAGTGGGGTGGTATTGCTGAAGTTTGAATCAGATTGAATCAATTTGCACGTGTCTGGGATTGAAGCAGGGAGAGCAGGCAGTGAGATTTCAGAGGAGAATGCAAAGGGGGGAAGGCAGGGACTGTTCCCAGTATCTGCTCTGCCCAATCCCATGGATCAGTATATGGAGACCCATCAGAGAGAGACCATACAGACCTTCTTGTAAAGGCAAAGAAAGCTGGGGAAGGGGAAATTTTCAGGCAAAAAAATGCAGAGTTTGCTCCACCCAGATGCTCAATTTCAAGTCTCTAAAGAATGAGGCCCAGGAGATAGTAAATCATGCCAAACTGTAGACACAAGTCTGAAATGCCTTTACAGGTCCAATTTTCTGAAAGTGAGAAATTCAGTCCTGATGATTCAGAGATACTGGCGTGGACATAACTGCAGGAAGAACTATGGTGCTGTAAGTATATGGGTGCTTCCTCACACTTTCGCCTTCCTATCTGTTTTAACTGGGACCTAAATTAGAGTTTTCTGGCTCAATTTGCCCCACCAGGTTTGGGTTGGTGGGATGAAAGGAATTGTGTCCTTGCTGTTGTGCCTTCTCATTAAAGACAGCTCCTTATCATCTCCATGCTGTCCCTTTTGCTCATAAATTAGATTTCCATTGTATCAAATAGTCACTTGGGCTTTTAAAAGCCTTCCCCTACTTTCCAAGTGATTGAAAACTCTGAAAAACAGACTCCATCCCCATATGTGATCACAAACAGGGCTTTCTCCTGGGCTCTCAGCCTAATCCATGGCCTTCATCTCTCCTTGTCCTAGCTAGTTCTGACCCCAAAGTAGGTCATTTCAGAAGTGTGCTGTGGTCTAAAGGGTTCAGTATCCTGTGAGGCTGCAATAGGATAGAAATTGCCATTTTCAGACTGATCAAGGTGCTGCCTGCTTCCACAAAGCCAATTCACGGAAAGAGATCTGCAGGAGCAGTGATTAGCAGGGAAGTCATAGAATCACAGAATAGCTTGTGTTGGAACAGACCTCAAAGCTCCAACCCCCCTGCCTTGAGAAGAGTTGCCAAGTGCTAAAATCCATGAGAGATGTTAGAACTCCATGGGAGCAGGCTCGAGGTTGGTATCAGGAGCCAGACCTTTTGAAACCTCTCAAAGACAGAAACCACAGGTCTCAGTGGGCAAGAAACTCCCTTCATCCTCCTTAGGCTTTAATTAATGCACCAGCCAGAGGGCTTCATTTCTCCACCCTCTTGGAGAACCTCCCTCCCAGAGGGCTTGTCTTGGTGAGATCTGATTTCAGTCACTCTTATTTAAGAAGAAGATTAGCAAAACAAATCTGCTCAGGGTGAGCTGCGGTGGCTTGGTTTCATCGTTCTCCCTTTTGCAGATGCGTATTGGCTTCCTGAGACTGCAGGCCCTCTACAGATCCCGCAAACTCCACAAGCAGTACCACATGGCCCGCCGGCGCATCATCGAGTTTCAGGCCCGCTGCAGGGGCTACCTGGTCCGTAGGGCTTTCCGTCACCGCCTCTGGGCTGTCCTCACTGTGCAGGCCTACGCACGGGGCATGATAGCACGGAGGCTGTACAAGCGCCTCCGAGGAGAGGTACGTGTTGTGGCGAGGATGGTAGTGGGAAAGAGAAGTGGGGAGAGAGGGAGGACAAATAGTTTAAAGGGCACCAAAGAATCCTAAAAAGTAGGAAACGTCTCTTGAGAAGGGCTCCTGTGTTTATTCCTCAGTATCATCGGCGCCTGGAAGCAGAGAAACTTCGGCTGGCGGAAGAGGAACGGCTCCGAAAGGAGATGAGTGCCAAGAAAGCCAAAGAGGAAGCAGAAAAGAAACATCAAGTATGCCAGGATCGCTCTTTCCAGGGCTCTCTCACTATTTTCCAGGGCATGCTTCTGCTCCACTGAGGGGGAATGCCAAAAATATCTAAGGGATTTCTGCCCTGCTTGAGTTATTTGTATTTAATTCTCTAAAGCCCCTCTGTGCCCTATCTAGACTTAGGCTGCTCCAGAATTTCTGATCTGCTGCAAAGGAATGTCAGAGATTATGGTTGTTATTTGCTTCCTTTTGGTGTTGTATGAAGGCTAAAGGTGGAATTGTGTAGATAATGTGTATGTGTGCAAGTGTGTACATGCACGGATGTATAAAATATAAAAATACCAGTGAGAGTCTCAGTGCAGGGATCAGACCTTCTAAAAAGGCACTGTAGAAGAGAATATATTATTTCTTTGTCCTTCTACAGTTAGGGAGCTGAGATTCTATATAAACATGCTACTGTTTAGCTCCAGCTCACATGGCTGGGATAGTGTCCTGAGCACTGAGAACCTCACATTTTTAAAGCTGGTCTCCATGGAATTCAGTGCCAGCTCTCTGGAGTCAGCAGTTCAGTCACTGTACATTTTCTCTTCCAGGTACGCCTTGCCCAGCTGGCCCGTGAAGATGCAGAGAGAGAAGTAAAGGAAAAGGAGGAAGCACGTCGGAAGAAAGAGCTTTTGGAAAAAATGGAGAGAGCGCGCAACGAGCCAGTGAATGACTCAGAAATGGTGGACAAAATGTTTGGATTCCTAGGGACTACCTCCTCCCTGCCCGGCCAGGAGGGGCAGGCACCCAATGGCTTCGAGGTACTTACAGGTTGATGCACACAGGTTGACTGTGACATAAAAGGCTTCAGCAACACATGTGAATTTATTAGGGTACAATGGGTCAGTACTAAGGGGGGCCTTCCTTCAAGAGTTCCTTCCTTCTGCATGGCCCCACAGGTTTGCTGTGCTGTGGCTGGGACAGACATGCTGATGCAGGTTTTCTGTGGGGCTGCTACATGGAAGGGAGCAGTATTGCTGTAAGATCAGTGAGGACCTGTGGCCTTTGTGATTTTTTTCATCACTGCTCAAGTCATTCGGTACTTGGGCAGCCATTGCCAAACTTAATGCTTCTCCAAGTGCTCTGGGGACATTATTGAGCAAAAGGTGTCCTTCTGGACTCATGATTTGCTTGGGCTCAGGAGTTACATTTCATGGTTTTCCCTCCAGTTGGCTTTTCTTGATGGAAATCAGATAGTCAGTGAAGTCACGCCCAAGGGGGAAGTACAGTTCAGCATCCAGAAACATGCTGACCACCTGACAACCACTTCCCCACCAGGATCTCGAGCGAGCCCAGAAGGAGCTGGAGGAAGAGGACCTTGATGCTGCATTGCCTCTCCCTGAGGAAGAGGAGGAAGATCTCTCAGAGTACAAATTTGCCAAGTTTGCAGCCACGTATTTCCAGGGCACGACAACACACACCTACATTCGCCGACCTCTCAAGCAGCCTCTCTTGTACCACGAAGATGAAGGAGACCAGTTGGTGAGGCAGGGGAGGAAAACCCTTGAGCAGGGTGGGTTGGAGCAAGCCTGGGGAGCCTTTCACCTGAAGGGCACCAGTTTGCCTTTGGTATACACTGGTGTGTGTTCATGGTTCAGGGGAGAGCACAGCCCTTATCCACTGGGCATGCTCTCAGACTAAGACAACAAACATTAGAGGGACACAGTGGTGAGTTTATCTCTATACCTTGATATTTAAGACAGTTAATGAAGTCTTCTGGGCTTAGGTCATGGAAGATACAAATTGTTGTGCTGGTACCATTTGCAAATCTGCATTTGCAGATGCAAATGTTGTTTCTTATCTTGACACGTGCATCAGTACAGAGCTAGTAGAGGAGAAAGGCTTGCCCCATAACCAACAGTACAAGGGCAGAATTGTAATGAACATTACAAAGGTCATGAAGTTTGCCTTCTCTATGATTCTCCTTCTCCTCTACAGAGGGTTAGAAGTTCTCAGTCACTGTTTATGTCTTTAGGACAAGAGGTAATTGTCATAAGTTGCTCCAAGGGGGAGGTTGATATTAGGAAAAATTTCTTCTCAGAAAGAATAGTCAAGCATTGGAACATACCACCAACAGGGAGGTGGTGGAGTCATTGTCCCTGGAGCTGCTCAAGGAAAGGGTAGATGTTGCACTGATGGACATGTTTAGTGGACATGGTAGGGATGAGTTGACAGTTGGACTAGATGATCTTAGAAGTCTTTTCCAGCATTAATGATTCTGTGATTCCATCTGAATGTGACATCTCCTAGCCAAGATGCAAATCCCTTGTAGGATATGGAAACATATTCATGATGGCAAGAACAGAGATCCTGAATTTGTGGTCCTGGCCACCAGTATATCCAACTTTTCTCTCTCAGATGAGATTCATGCTGTGAGCAAATTAGTTTTGTGTCACACAGGTAGACAAGGAGACTATGGTCATGATCCCAATGGATTCATAGAATCATAAGATATCCCAAGCTGGAAGGGACCCACAAGGATTATCTGGTCCAATGTCTTGGCTCCACTAAGAACGTGGTTTGACTACCACCTCCATTGCCCTACTGCAATCTGATGGAGTTAAACTTTATTTCAACAGGCAGCACTTGCTGTGTGGATCACTATCCTCCGTTTCATGGGAGACCTCCCTGAGCCAAAATATCATACAGCCATGAGTGATGGTGGTGAGAAGATACCAGTGATGACGAAAATCTATGAAACTCTTGGGAAGAAGACTTATAAGAAAGAACTGCAGGCTCTGCAGGGAGAAGGAGAGGTAATTGCTTTCCAATTGAGGTAACTGTCTGTCAGAGAGATGGTATTTTCATATCAAAATATGTTGGGAAGAAATTAGTTTGTCAATTTTATCTGCAGTTATGCTACAAAGGGAGAATTGTCTGTGCATCAGGTGTTGTTTCTATCACTTATTTACAAAGATAACCAAATGCCTCCAGCAGTACTGTCAGGGAAGCACCCTGATATTTCTCACGGGGCTTTCATCTCTCTCTTCCTCCCCAAATGGCAGAGATAAATGGGAGAAATGCAGTGTCTTGAGTCATTGGTCTCTCTTTTGGGGGATTTTGTGTTGATTTGCTCTGGGTCAGCAGAGAAAAATTTAAAAATATGCCCTTAATCTTGGAGCAGGAAGTGAAGAATTACCAGGAGATTAGGCTGCAGAAATCCCTATTGCATCCTCAGAACATTCTGGGAATATTTGGAGGACTTTGTCTTAGGACCCCTCCCAGATAAGACATCGCTCTGGATAAATCACTGCCCATAGCACTGATACATTCTCATTTTGACAGTTGTTTTGTACAATATGGTAAGCTGTTACCTGGTATTAGGATTTTTTGTTTTTATAGATGGTGATTTCATTCAGCACTTTCACTCCAGCACCTGAGAAGGAGTGCAATCTGATTTGGACTTGTATTTTGTAAAAGTATGCTCTAAGAATTACCTTCCATTCCTTCTAGCTATCATGTTTTTTGCTTGTTTATTTATGAAAAGGCATATTTTATCCAACTGAGTTGTTAAATAGTAGAGAAGAGAAAGAAAAATTAAGTTGTCATTTGCATCTGCTGTTATACGTGCTCTGAGGAGTGTACAGCAGTGTAAAGATGTTTGAGCTGACCCTAAACCTGATGGCTTGTGAATCCAGCTTGACTTTATAATGGATACAAACCATTAAAGCTGCAGAGCTCAAAGTGTTGATCTGGTGTAATATCAGTCATTTCAAAGATGTTCAGTTTTGAAGAGGTTAACTGAGTTAAAAAGTAAAGCTATTGTTCATGCCATCTCGGTCTCACAGCTGGCAGAAAGCTGGCAGAAAGTCAACAGAAAAATCATATCGTCTGCTTGATGATATGTAATCAGTGCCACATGAAATTTTATTTTTCTGGGAAATCTGATAGAGCACAGAGCTAGGTAATGATGATGAAACCATAATGGGTAACAATAGCTGCCCCTGAATCGCTGACAGGGTGACTTCCATCTCACAAGTGTGCTATGCAAATCACACATCTCAGAGGGTGATTTTGCTCATCTCACTTGTGAAGTAGGAACAAGCCTGAACAGGGTACAGTACAAGTGATGGGGCATAGTTGGACTAGGAGTCAGCCACTTTTTCAACATGGCTTGGTCTTTTTGCAGCCATGTCCAGTATGTAATTTTAATTTGGGGTAGGTTCATTGATAAAACAATGATCATCTGCCAAATTCAGAGCCCAACCTGATTTATCATGGGGCAAACGGAACATTCTAGTTCCTGTCTTCTTCTGAAATGTCTCAGTCTCTGCCCTTTGCAGAAGTCCTGGAGAAGCAGAGACAGCTTGTATTTGGCAGGGCTCTCCATCACCACACTGCACTGTGTGTTTCTTGCTTTGCAGAGTACTCACATTGACGGGCACAAGAAGAACAGTGTGCGGCACAAACTGGTCTCCTTAACACTCAAGAAGAAATCCAAACTGACAGAGGAGGTGAGAGGAGACGCTTGGCCGCCTGGCAGCACAAGTGCCGTTGGATTGTCTGCAGCCCTCTCTGACTCTCTTCTGCTTTTCCCTAGACAACATAGAACCAGCCCTCCTCTGGGTTTGGCGCTACCTGTCTCTCTGCCTGAAAGATTTAAGGAGTGTTTAAGGGGAAAGGTTGGCTTCCCGTGTCTCCTTGAGTCATTCTGCACCTCGCGCCGGCCTCCCCTCGACTCCTGTTCTCCATCCATTCAGCACCTTCCCTCCCCTCTTTCACAGCCCTCCGTCCAGCTGCTGAAACCTCTCACCACTTGTGATGGTCTGAATGTTACCCCTGCTTTTAGCTTCCTGCCCTCCTCTGCGTAATAGGTAGCAGAAGAAGGCCATTCAAAAGTGCTCACCCATCCTCTGCCTCTCTCTTCTCTAATTCTCCTATGCGTAGCTATCCAAAGCTGAGAGCTTTTGGAAATACCATCCCAAAAGAGTGAGGAGCAATAAGGCTTTTGGGTAGGGGGATGAGAGCAAAGCAAACACATGGATTCAGTCTTTTTCATAGTGTCTTGTCCACTTCCAGAGCAGGCACCAAATCAGCTGCTTGAGAACATGAAAACCTCTCTCTGATATAGTCATCCTTCTTCCCTTTAGTGTCAGAGGAAAGAAGTAGGAACCAGTTCAGCTTATCCTAAAGTATCTCAGAACACATTCTCTAGTGGCTCTAAATAGAGAATGAGTTGACCAGCTGAGGTAGAGAACTGTGGGCAGAGAGGTGGATGAATGCCAACCCAAAAAACACCATGCATTGTTAGCATGGAGAGAGGGCCCATCTGTTAGTATTTTAACATTTTTTTTTTAAATATGACTAAATTGAAAGGACCAGCCTTCCTTGACAATAAGTTGGATTATCCCAAGCATCGTTGGTGACTGTTTTTCAGCTGTGGGTCCAGCCTAGTGTTGGGTTGCCAGGGCGCCATTGTAGAAAACAAAAGAAAAAACTAAGCAGGTAGAAGCGTGACCAGGCAGAGCCATTTTCATCTTCATCCATACGTAATTAAAGCCAACCAACTCACAACCTCCCATCACTGACAATGTATAGACCGAAAAGCTTCTGAGTCCCTTCGGGGCTGGTGGAGGAGTCCTCCTTGGGGGGGGCACACCACATGTGGGTTGGGGGTGGGGGGCCACAGTAAATGGCTGTGCTGAAAGAGAGCAATGTGTCTGGTTGGCAGGTGACAAAAAGACTTCATGACGGGGAATCAACACTCCAAGGTAATAGCATGCTTGAAGACCGACCCACATCCAACCTGGAGAAGCTCCATTTCATTATTGGTAATGGCATCCTCAGGCCAGCATTAAGGTTAGAAATCCGGACAAAGGCATAAACATGCCATTCTTTTAATTCCTTCTTCACTGAGCTATTCCCGTCCAAATGATTTTGCTGGTGTGTGCAGCTTTATCATGCCCTTATCCTTCTGGTTGTGTTGCACAATTGGGCTGGGTTAGGTCACTTCTTTAGTGTTCATGTCAGACCTGATCAAAAGACCATGCAGAGGGATTCAAAGGCTTCTGAAAGAGCTGGTGGGTGCTGTATTGCTTCATTAGCACTCATGCTTGCTGTTCACTACCCTTTGCTTTCCATTTGACCATTTAGGCGTCTTTCATTTGTGTGAATATTTTTGATGGCACAAAAGTGAAAAACTCAAACTCATTTCTGTTACTAAGTAAAGCATTCAAAAAACAGAAACAATCAAATTAGAGATGACTGTGTATCTGTGTTTTAGCCCATTTGTGTGTGTGTGTGATGTACTGCAATGCATTTCATTTTATCCTCCCACTTCACCCGAAACCCTTAGCCTTATATTTCTGTACATCTACTCAATCTAATAGCATACTCATGAGCTTTTCCATGGGGTTTTTCGGTGTAACAGGTTGGTTAACTAGTTTTTGCTGCTTCGCATGTAGATAAGGAAGTACCAATATCTCTCATTTTGCATGTGGAGAATTAAAGTCAAAGGCAAAATTGGACATTAATTCCCCAGATGAGATATCCATCCATGCATCAGAGTATGGGTCTACTTATACATGAGATGGACAAACCTAGATCTCTGCTGGAACAAATAGATCCCAACATTTATACAGTTCATGTTTAGGTGCCCCAAAAGTAACAGTCAGCAAATAAGGACTCCTGGTAGATGGCCCAGTTTAGGAGGCTCACTTGCTATCAGAGGGAAACCTCTGTAAGACTCCATCTCTAAAACACCATTTTCCAGAAAAGGCATTCAGAGACCTGAACCTTGAGACTCCCTTTTATTTCTCTTTTCTGAAAACACCAGTCAGCAATGGAAAATTTCTGCAGAAGCACAGGGAAAACCCAGTTGAGAACTAGGAGAATGAAAGCATTTGATAGACCATGAAGTGACCAGAGTGACCATCATTAGGACTATTATATGAATGTCCCTGTAATTCCGAAATGAACCTGCAGACAGGTTTGGCTCTTCCTCTGTTAACACTGAAAAGCACCATCTTGTTAATTCTAATTTTTATTTTCACTTCTATTACAGGGATGAAATTTATTGTCAGATCTGCAAGCAGCTGACTCAGAACCCATCCAAAAGCAGCCATGCCAGGGGCTGGATCCTGATGTCCCTCTGTGTAGGGTGTTTTGCTCCTTCTGAGAAGTTTGTAAAGGTAAATTGTGGATGAAATTTATCACGGATACCATCTGCTGACACATTTTCTTCCCCACCCATGGGACCAGCTTTTCTCTTGAGTTTGATAGTGAAAGGAATCCTGGTCTTCATCTCTGTCAGGAATGACAATGGCAAAAGTTCCCTAATGAGAAAGAAAAATGTGCAAGATACTGAGCTCAATGTCTTAGCAAGGATCAAAGAAATTACTCCTGAGAAATTGGCTCTCTCTTTCCACTGACTCTAAAGAGAGAGTAGATCACAAATTCAGATGATGCCTCCTACACTCCAGGTGAAGAAGATGTGATAGGTAACCTCTGCCCAGAAACTGAATTATCAGAGATCACATGTGGAATTTGCACACCCAGAAAGGCCCAGCCCACAGATCTCCCATTTCTCACAACCAAAGACCTATGCATTTAGTCAAGCATCTGCATGTCTAAGACATGTCCTCTAGTTTGACGAGGAACAGTATTACATAGCAAATTATAAATCTAATCTATTCATGGAAAGGATGATCCATCACTGAAACAGACAGCACAGGGAAGTGGTTGAGTACCCATCCCTGGAGGTATTGAAGAGATGTGTGGGTGTAGCACCAAGAGACATGGGGTAGTGGTGGCCTTGGAAGTGTTAGGTGATGATTGAACTTGATGATCTGGTGGGCCTTTTCTAGTCTAAATGATTCTATGATTCTACATAATGTATCTTCAGGCGCATTGTAGATCAGCAGGACTGAAGTCAGGGGGCTGACACTATTAAAAATCAGATTTTTCTTAAGGATTTTCATTTTTTCTTCGGCATACTCCATTTTTTCTTCCTAGATTTGAGCAGCCTTCCTTCCAAATAACTTATACACCTCAAGTCTGACCAGCACCCTCTGGGCTGCTGAAGTTAATCCCATGATTTAAAGTTTGACTGGCTCAGGGCAAAGGGCTCAGTACTTTGTCTTTGCTTTGACACAACATGACAAGGCTTCCTTTGACCCTCCCAGATTTTTGAATGTTGGAGCCTAGAACTGCTCCCAGGCCCACTGGAAATAAAGGTGTTACTTTAATATCCATAGATATAAGATCAGGTTCTATCAGAACTGAAGCCAAGAATAGAAAACCCTTTTTCATTCCAGGCACTGTAAGGAAGAAATCAAATAATTCAGATAAATCACTGCCAAAGTGGCAGAAAATTAAATTACACCTGGTAATGTGATCTGAAAAAGTATATAACAGGGGACTGTGGGAATTTAAATTTTTAATAATGAAAGATTATTTTAGGTGAGTGAAGCACTTCACAGAAATAATGAATGAGTAATTCTGAAGTCTCAGAACAGACTGCCCAGGGAGGTGGTGGAGTCACTGTCCCTGGAGGTGTCCAAGAAACATGGAGATGTGACACTTGGAGACAAGCTACAAGATGTGGTTTAGTAGCTTAGGGGGTAGTAATGGTGATAGGAGGACAATTGGACTAGATCTTGTAGGTCCTTTCCAACTTTGTGATTCTATGACTCTTCTATGAATCTGTGGTTTAGCGTGCCTGGTGGTTAATGGTTGGACTAGATGATCGTAGAGATCTCTTTCAACCTTATTGACTCTGTGATTCTACCTCTGCCCAAAGTCCTGGTATGTGCTGAAGTGTGTGTCAGTATTCCCCAAAACATTCTGCATTTGTTCATCTTGGGCAGCCCTTTTGCTCCTTGGACTGCTGGAGACAAAAGGGAGTGTTCATACCAACTAATTTCAGATACTTGTCTCCTCCTAATAGTACGTGGAAAGAGAGAGACTCCTCTAGAGGATGATTCTGAGGCTGTGAATGAGAATCCTGCTCTGAATCTCTCCCCAAACATTTTCTGTCCCCATGGGCAGCTCTGGTGACTGTGTCTCCTTGGGTGTGAATGTGGACACCTCTTGCAGTATACACACTCTGTTTATATTTCTAAGCTCCAGTCTTGCAATAACTTGGCCCACGTCCTGGAGCTCCTCTGAAGCATCTGTAGTAATCCATAGGGACATCATACACACCAGTTTAAAGCATTATGTTTGAAGATAATACATTCTCCCATTTAAATGTTGATTCTGCCCCCAACAGCATCCTGTCCCATGCAGACTCACTTTTTTGTTTTGTGAAAAGCGGAGGGATAGATAAGGTTTGATGGAATTCAGTGAATGCTTCATTGTGAAGCTACACTAACCCAGACCACTTAGTCCAGCCTATTCTAGACTGGGACATAACTGCCACGTCAGCACTGGACGTTACTATCATACTCATAGCCTCATAACTCATTTAGCAGTAATTATTCACCATTTAAACAGAAGAAGAAGCAAATAAGGGTAAATATCTCTTAGCATTTCTTCTCTATACTCTGTTGTGCAGTGGAAGTGTACAGTGAATATGATAACAAATTCCTGGTTAATTTTTTCCTGAAACCTCCATTCGGGGTCTAACTTTAATAACAGCAACATTATGGGAAAAAGATGATGCAGAATTTCAAGAAAGGATTATGCCTGGAGGCTGTTCCACAACCCTGGAATATGTCAGTAAGGACTGAACACTTTGAGATGGATTTAGGTGATAATGAGGCAATCTTAAATATGTTTTCTGTTCCCAAATATGAAGATCATGCTTTGGATCCTATTAGAAACCTTCATCACCTCTTATGCTAAGCACGGTTCAAGACACAGCACTCCAATCCTCTGCACTTTTCTTTGATTTACAGAGCTCTTAGTCTTAGCTACAAATTTAGCCAAGACACTTATGTAATGCTTTTAAGTGTATCTCTCAAACTGCGGAAGTCATTGGATTTCATTTTCTAAGCAAAGTATTTTTAACATATGGTGAAGTACTTCAAATTTTGGCTTAGGGTCCAATAAAATAGAGTTTAAAATCCGACTAAGGAAACACCTGTTTAATGTAATTGTGAAATATGTTTTCTATTATCAACTAAGTGTTCTGAGTGATGCTTGCTTACAGTTTCCCATGACATTTTTTATAGGTCTTTTTCATTCACTCCCATCATTTTGTCCTATATTCAATAGTATAATGGTCTAACCAATGTGTTCCCTGCTGCAAACAGTACTTAAGGAACTTTATCAATGGAGGCCCTCCTGGTTATGCTCCCTACTGTGAAGAGAGGCTGCGGCGGACGTTTGCCAATGGGACAAGGACACAGCCACCAAGCTGGCTGGAACTGCAGGTATGAACCCCTCCATACCCTTCCAAGGCCTCTGGGGCTCAGGGTTGGATCTTTTCACTGTCATGGGAACCACAACTCTGGCAGAGCAGAAAACATCATGACAAAGTGACTATATCTTTCAAGAATTTTCAGGTATTTACATTATATTACATTCCTCTTGCATCCTGGCCTTGTTCCAAGGCATACTGAAGATCATGCCCTTTGCCTACATCAGTACTTGTAAATTAAATGCATTTGAGAATGCTCTTAGACATCAATGCCAGCTGCCATGAAGCTAAGCCCCATGTATGCTAGGAATTCTTCCAGCTGAAAGTGCCTGCAGGCAAACTAACTACTGAGAATGTCCTTGGAACATCACAGCTGCCCAAGCTTCTTCAGGTGCAGCTGTAGTTGGAATAAGCCCATTTTATGCAATATTTGCTCATTTTCTGTGCTGATTTACTAGCACAGGTGATTGTGTTTTAGTACCCAGGAGCATTCCTGAGCCTGGTTGGGTTGACTAGATTAAACACTTCAACAATTGAATGTATTATATACAAGAAACAGTTTTCTCAGTGCTTCCAGTGACTGACCATACATTATCCAGTTGAGAATGCTATGGTAGCATTGAAATATAGCCAATAGTGGAATCAGGAATTAAAAAACCAGCTACCATTGCTGGGGGGAAGAGTACATAGGTAAATAACCTAGAATTTTGAATGCCATTGTAAAGTCTGGCTTTAATCTATTAGGCAACCAAGTCCAAGAAGCCAATCATGCTGCCTGTCACATTTATGGATGGGACAACAAAAACACTGCTGACAGATTCTGCGACCACTGCTAAAGAGCTCTGTAATTCATTGGCTGACAAAATCAGCCTGAAGGACCGATTTGGCTTTTCACTTTACATTGCACTTTTTGACAAGGTAGGTTATAATTAATGCTTCTGACTAACCCTATAAAAGAAAAGGGAGATTCTCCTTGATGTCACATATCTTCCAGGGGAAAAGAAGGACCTTGTATTCTGAGCAAATGCCCAGTCAAAAGATCAGAAAGAAAAAAATATATATGCATGTATGATTTTTACAGAATGAGAAGGCATACGCTTGAGTAGTTTTTGCAGAGAGATTATGAAATCTCCCTTCTTGAACATATTCAAAATAGAGGGAATGGAGCAACCTGATCAAAGATGGACCAGCTCCAAGCAGGAGATTGGACCAGAAACCTGCAAAATCCCTCCAGAAATCCTCCAGAGGTGCCTCACACATAGACATCTCTACCTAGATGATGTCAGATGAATTTCACCTTTTCCCTCCACGTTGCTTAGGTTTCTTCCTTGGGGAGTGGCAATGACCATGTGATGGATGCTGTGTCCCAATGTGAGCAGTATGCCAAGGAGCAAGGAGCACAGGAGCGCAACGCACCGTGGCGGCTCTTCTTCAGGAAGGAGATCTTCACTCCTTGGCACAACCCAAGTGAGGACAATGTGGCCACCAATCTCATTTACCAACAAATTGTCCGAGGGGTGAAGTTTGGGGAATACCGGTGTGACAAGGCAAGTGTCCTCAACAGCTGCTGGTCTGTCAACATACATCCATAATATGGTGAAACTTCACAAAACGGAATAAGAAATCTTCCTCCCTGGGTACATGCTAAGTTATTAGGGTATGCACTTAGGAAACAGAAGCTACAGGAATCAGATCCTTTTGGCTGGAGGAGGATCAGACTCTCCTATGGGCTGTGTAAGCACCATTCCCTGTGGACTTTAGGATCAGAGAGTGAATGTTACCTCATCCATCACCCCCAGTTCGGAGGGCTACAGGAATGCTGTAACCAGTCCACCAGGTCAGATTCCTGTTTGGTGAATCCTGATAAGCTTTAGGCACGAGACAGACAATTCAAGTTACATACAACTGTGCTATGCAGTACAGATCCAGTGCTGAAGAGACGTTGGAAGCAGAAACCTATGTCTCTAGAGTCTCTGTGAGCTTACAGAATTCATAAAATTGCTCAGGTTGGAAAAGACCTTAAAGATCATCAAGTCCAACTGCAACTTAGCCATTCTACCTTAACTCTAACAACCCTCTGCTAAATCATGTCCCTGAGCAGTTATTATTCCAGTGTCACTGAAGTGAGCTTCTCAAAAGACATTAAAATCTCTGAAAACATCCAGTGCAATTTGTCTTGCTTCTGTTTAAAATTATCCAGGTGTCAAACTGAAGATATTCTTTCTTAGCACCTAATTGCTCTCCTTTGAACTAGTAAAGACCAGGCACTATAGGAACTAAAGCATCTTTTCCCATCTTTATTACATTAACATCAGTTCTTTTATCATGTGTGGATCTCACAGGAAGAAGACCTGGCAGAACTGGCTTCCCAGCAGTACTATGTGGACTATGGGTCAGAAATGGTACTGGAAAGGCTGCTAAATCTAATTCCATCCTACATCCCAGACAGAGAGATCACTGCATCAAAAACAGTGGAGAAATGGGCTCAGCTCATTATAGCTGCACATAAAAAGGTAAGATGATAAATCATCTGGTAATGGCCAAGATATGTTTCAGTAGCTTCATGTGCCTTCTAAATATGTCAGACACTACAGCTCAAATCTTGGCTGCACTGAAATTAAAACAAAGGCAAAGGATGTGCTTTGCACTAGTCATGTCCAACAACCACTGCTTTTGATGCAAGAAGACAACTTGCAGAGTTGCACTCTGCCTTTTCTGGTGTTTCATTCCTGACACATGAGACTGTGGCATTATTGATTCTATTGCAGTGGCAGTTTGTGACCCCAATCAATACCAGGATGTTATTGTACCAGATGCTGTGTAACCTCCCTGACTTGTTGAGTCATTCAGGCACAAGGACTGGCATTTATTTAAAGACAGGATTCCACCTCAGATTAAGATAGCTAAATACAAGCATCTCCCTCTGTGTTAAGTCTCACTTCCCATCACTCTCTGTGGAAACCCAGGGGCTCAGTTCTGTTGCCTGAACAGAGAAGACTGGGGTATTCCTGCTCCAGGAATCTTAGGCCCTCCATCAGCCTCTAAGCTACATACAAAAGTCTCAGGTTTCAAAAGATGTCCTGAATGAAGCTTAGATGCCTGTGCTTAAGCACTATCAAATACCTACTTCCAGCTAAAGGACTGTCAAGCTAAAAGGCAGACATCTATGTTAGGGAAACCGAAAGCCAGTTGAGATGATCACACCCAGCTTTGTCACTCTAGATGCTTGCCCAGACTTCTCAGAGTCTAATTATTTCTGAAGGGGGAACTAGATTTTTGCTAGGAATTTCTCCAGCTTTTCAGTTGTTCCCATAGGACTTTGGGCCTTAGCATCAGCAAGATCAAAATATTGGTTCCAAGATCTTCAGATGTCATGGACTGAATGAGTTTCAAGGAGTTGTATGTTTTTGCTCTCTTGCTGAGATATAAGTTGGTTTGTGCTTCATGTTGCTTATGGTTTGCTTTGTCGGTAGGGAATTTATACTCAGAAGAGAACAGACCCCAAAAAAGTCAAGGAAGAGGTGGTGGATTTTGCACGTTTCAAGTGGCCTTTGCTGTTTTCTCGGTTTTATGAAGCCTTCAAATTCTCAGGTGGGTCAATAGAACACATGCTGGGATGGGTGGGATGGTGAAAAGCAAAAGGTAGAAGAATTAGGGACTCCACAGACAAGACCTAATGGGCCATCGGGTGATCTGTTTTGAATAGATTCCTTTTTGGTGCATCCTCATTAGCAATGGCTCAAGCCATGAGTCTGCCATTATTTCTATTATTAAAAATAACTGATTTTTGTTATTGCATCCTTTTTTGAAACATAGGCTTTTTCTATGTCATACCCTTAGTGAACTGATTGTATGTCTTGCCTTCAATCTAGGGCCAAGCTTACCTAAAAATGATGTGATTGTGGCTGTCAATTGGACAGGGGTGTATTTTGTGGATGAACAGGAACAAGTTCTCTTGGAGCTCTCTTTTCCAGAGATCACAGCTGTGTCAAGCAGCAGGTAAACTTAGCTAATGTTCTACCCCTAAAACAGTCTTTTTCTTGACTTTGACTTTTGATACTATTATATTTCCTGTTTATATCTCCTATAAAAACATATCCCAGAGGAGGAAAGCTGCAAGGGCAGAGTTTCACCTTGGCCACCATTAAAGCAGATGAATACACTTTCACCTCCAACAATGCAGAGGATATCCGGGACCTGGTAGTGACATTCCTTGAGGGACTAAGAAAAAGATCCAAGTATGTGGTCACTCTCCAAGACAACCCAAACCCTGGTAAGTAGAAGTAAAGAAGGAAAGCAAATGCATAGGCATGTTAATTACTCCAAAAAGACTTGCAAAAAAAAAAATAATTCATACAAACTAATGGTTATTTTTCTTGTAGTGGGAGAAGAATCTGGGTTCCTCAGCTTCCTCAAAGGAGATCTCATAGTTCTTGATCAAGACACAGGAGAACATGTGATGAATTCAGGGTGGGCGAATGGATTCAATGAACGAACCAAGCAGAAAGGGGATTTCCCAACAGATTCTGTCTATGTCTTGCCTACTGTCACCTTGCCTCCCCTGGAGATTGTGGTAAGCTGTCTTACAGAATAGCAATACTTGATGCAAAGCCTGAGGAGGTCAAAGTCTTTCTGAGCAGTTTGGTTTTAAGAGTCTTTCTGACAATAATCTGGACCACTGTGGCTGAGAGAGGTGACGTTTTCTAAGGTACAAGTGATTTGTAATAGTATCTTAGCCTTTCTTCTAGTCTCATCACTTTGAAAACCATGAGATTATGACTTGGCATATCCATGAATCCTTTCACATCTTTCCAGCTGGCACAACTCCTTTTTGTTTAGGGTTAGAAGAAACTACCACATGCATTCATAGAGCAGTAGGTTCTAAAGCACATTCTTTTCATTAGAAAACAATTCCCACTATGGAAACATTTGTTATTCTTTGTATTAGTGACAAAGAATGGCACAGAGAAATGGCACTTTTATAGTTCTTACTGTCTATTGGCTGAAATTAGTGGGTTATTTTTACTCACTCATTGCCAGTCTCTTCATTTTGTATCTGCTTCCTATATATTGCATCAAGCATATGAGTTGACAGACAACTTTTCATCCCACAGGCACTGGTCACAATGACTCCTGACCAACGACAGGATGTTATCAGAACCTCCCAGATGGCAATTTCAGACAGTGAAGAGAGAGTGAAGCCATACACCTTGGAGGAATTTTCCTATGATTATTTTAGGTGATTTTTTTCAACCATCTTCAAAAAATACAGGAGTAGAAATACAGGAGTAGAAATACCATTTCTCCACATAGCTTGGGAACCAGTAATTTTTTGGCCACTGGAGAAGACTGTAACTATCTTATCCTCTGTACAACAACAGCTTCCAATTTAGGCCATGGCATGAATTACAAGTGTTCCACAGACAGGGATTTATGAATTAGGTGGAGACATTTTCATCTCAGCTCCAAAGTATACCCCACAGCTGCATGTAGCCTACCAGACTGACCCCAAAACTGCCCTTTCTGCTCAGAGAGGCTGGCAGTCCAAAGAGGCAGACCAAGTCCTCTAGGATATTGTCATCCTGGTGGGCTTGTTCTACTGGGCAATATTCTTTCATCATTGCTGCCCATCTCCCTGTTGTCATCAGCTTTCCTCTTGTGATTAGAAGGGGCTTTTTTGTTACAAAAGTTTGTTTGGGTATCAGTGCTTAAATAGGGTCCAAAACAGATTTTTCTGAGCCCTAGAAAAGTCAAAATGGCTATGGTTTGGGTAGAACTGGAGCTGTATACTTGCTAAAGTGTAAATTCCCATTTGGTTTAAGAGTTCATTAGTGAGGTGTTGTGAATAACCTTCCAGGTGAAACTCAGGCCACAGACTGTCCCTTTCATCTGTGTAACCTCTCTACTATTACTTTGCTTTGCCTTTGCCACCAGGCCTCCACCTAAGCACACCCTGAGCAGAGTTATGATCACCAAGAGCCGTGGGAAGGACAAGCTGTGGTGTTACACCCGGGAGCCCATCAAGCAGCCCTTGTTGAAGAAGATCCTGGGTAGTGAGGAGCTGTCCCAAGAAGCTTGCATGGCCTTCATTGATATCCTTTTACTGCCTGGTGCAGCCCTTGGACAAGAGGACAAATCTGACAGACAAAGGGATGATCAGTCTCTTCAGGGACACAAGCAAAGCCCATAGAAAGCCTTCTGTCCCCTCTTAGGGGGCTGTGTCACAGACTTGGAGATGGATCTGATTCTGGCATCTGTATTCAAGCATCCTTGAGATCTGAGGTACAGGGAGCAAGAATTATTGAATTGATTATAGAATCATTAAAGTTGGAAAAGACCACTGAGATCATCTAGTCCAACCGTCAACCCATCCTCACCATGCCCACTAAACCACTAAACTATTGAGTCTTTCTGGTACACACTGCTTAGTGGTTAACTCAACAGTTCTGTTTTGGCTTACTTCAACTTTCCAAGATGCATCTACTGTAAAGGGAGTAGACGTAACCAGTGTGGATGCAAACCAGTCCTCATGACCTCAGGAATAGGGTTTGATACCTGAATATCTCTACTTGGAAGAATAAAGACAGCATGGAGATAGGCAGAGTGCAAACGTAGATCCGAACTGTGGAAATGGCCTCTGTATTTTGGTGGGCTTTTCTCTAGGATCCAGAGTTTATAATTTGAACAGTTCTATTGGTATAAGCCTGGTACTAATGCTGCTACCATTACTGCTACTATCACGGCCACTTCTGTAGTCAAGTGTAAGTTGTCTTTTACCATATCATCAACAGAAGGGGTTCACCAAACCTCCCAATTAGCTAATCCTTAACTCCTGCCCCTCACCAGTGCTAAAGTATATGGGTGACTACCCATCCAAAAGGACCCGCTCAGTCAATGAGCTGACAGACCAAATATTTGAAGGTGCCTTGAAAGCTGAGCCTCTGAAGGATGAAATCTACTGCCAGACCCTGAAACAACTCACTGACAACCACATCAAGTAAGAGTTGTCTGTTTTCCTTGTCCCAGAGACACTAGCCTGTGTTGGGCATAGCAGGTCTGGAGCATTTTTCCTCCCTTCTAGTGCGTCCATGCCATGAGTTACTTTTTTTTGTTCTGTATCTCTCCTATTTTAGGTACAGTGAGGAGAAAGGCTGGGAGCTGCTGTGGTTGTGCACAGGCCTTTTTCCTCCAAGTAACATCCTCCTGCCCCACGTCCAGAGGTTTCTTCAGTCCCGGAAACATCACCCATTGGCAGCAGACTGCATCCAGAGACTCCAGAAAGCCCTAAGGTACAACACCAAAAGACCTCCTAACCATGTCACAATATCCAAATATGCATGAGAAACAATAAGTAGGAGATAGTCTGGTGATTGGAGGGACACAGTGAAATCTCACAGCCTCTCTCTTCATTCAACCAACACTAATAGAAAGTACGTCTGATGGACACTGTTGCTTATTCTGGGGCACCTTCCTCCTCCTGTTTTGCAGGAATGGGTCCAGAAAGTACCCTCCCCATCTTGTAGAAGTGGAAGCCATTCAACACAAAACCACCCAAATTTTCCACAAGGTTTACTTTCCTGATGATACTGATGAGGTAAGTGGGACAGAAAGAAATTCTTAGTTTTTGTCAGGATGGCTGTTCAAATTCTTACTAAATCTCAGAAGAGATTCATGCAGAAAAATTCAGCCTTCCCACAAGTATCTGAACCAGAGCAGTGTCAGGAAAACCCATTCTTACCAGGATAGGAGACTGGAGCTTAGGGGTCTGATTTCCTACAATTTACCTTTTCAAGACATGGGTGCAGAGTTGGCTCTCACTGGGGATTTTATAATATGATCTTATCAAGAGGGGAACATGATGTGTTCATCTCCATCCTCTTTCTCAGTGATTCACAAACTTTGGCCATCAGTTATTTGGAACCTAGACTAGAATATACAGTCCACCAAGCTATGCCTAGCCAGGCACTCTGCTGGGGCTCCCAGTGACAGAGCAGGGAGCTGGCAAGCAAGAAAATGCAATTATTCCTCATTCTTCTGAACTGAGATGACACAGAAATCATGATACCTGCAATCAGAAACCTCTCATTAAGCATCTTATACACAAATAAGGTAGATAGTGATATTGTTGTTGGAGGCAGACAGGCATCCTCTTGCAGATACTGCTGTCTCATGTTACTGACTGGTATTGTAGTGAGGCTTGATCTCTTCTATCATGCCCTTAGGTACACCTAAATCCTTGCATTTCCAAAGGAGTTCATGTGAAAAACAGTTCATATGCATGGGAGGATGTGAACAGTAGCTATGTATGCCCATGTTTGTCTGTTATAGGTATTTTAAGAAATCTACTGGGACTTCCCATCATACTGAGTTTTGGGGTTTTTTTTGTATATGACCAGTAAGAAACATGGCACTGCTTTATACATGTACATCTGTGTGAAAGCCAGGAGAAAGGAGGCAGAGAGAACTTCTGCACTTGGATGTAGTCCCTTTGACAATGGAAGTCATCCAAGTGGGCTAACGAAGCCTTGTCACTATGGTACAACATGCACCTTTCTCAGTCTCATGAGATGTAGAACATGGGTCCTGGTGGTTCAGGCTAACAAGGTCATGCACGTGGTGGGTAGAGGTCTAAATTCTTTGAACTGCTGTGAAATGAATCTCCTTAAGTGGCCAGAGAAAACCAAGTCACTGCAAATTCTAAGAATAGCTCAGAAAGTGGAAAATGGAGAGATATCATCAGTGAAGAAACAACTGAAGATCAGCCTTCCGGTAAACAAATAGGTCTGAGATGTTACAAATGGATCAGAAAAAATCTCTTTACCTTGGAAACTCTACAGAAGTCAACACAGAGTGTAGATGTAGTATCCTGAATCACAACATTTCACCAATAGTATGGCTGAACATCTATAAATGTGCCTTCCCATGTGCAGAGCCACAGTCCACAACGTCTCTGTTTTCACTGGTGTTGTGCACCTAAATCTCTTCATACATCTGAACTTAAAAGTTCCTCAAAGACAGCATAAAACAGAAATTAATCTTGAGGTAGCAATGATAATGTTCTTCCTTTCTTTGTAGGCATTTGAGGTGGAGTCCAGCACAAAAGCAAAGGATTTCTGCCAGAACATCTCCAACAGACTGCTCCTAAAGTCCTCTGAAGGCTTCAGTCTCTTTGTCAAGATCTCTGACAAGGTGAGCGACCCACACTCACCTTGTGGTAATGCCAAAGCACTCAGTGCTTCATTTCCAGAGACTCAGTAGGTGCACTGCTGGAGCCAGAGCTATGAAACAGGTTGCCCAGAGATGTGGTGTTGGAAGTCTTGTCATTGGATACATTTAAAGTCAGGCTGGACCAGGCTCTGAACAACCTGATCTAGCTTGTGCATGTCTCTGTTCATTGCAGGAGGGTTGATCTAGATGACCTTTAATGGTCCCTTCCAACTCTGTAGCCCCATGAATAAGATTAATTCCTCTGCAAGTTGTGCAGCATTTCTAAGTCAGATCTAACCTGCTACAGGTGAGATTTGGAGTATTATAACCATGGTTACAACTATCATCCTAAAAGGGAAAGGTCTCCTGTGTTGAGAACAGATGGCCTTAATACCTGATGATAATGCAGCAGTGTCCTTGCTGATTTAGGGACCCAACCAGTACCATTCTATGTGGAGGATCTCACAGAGGAAAGAGGTAGAAAACCCAAGCCTATTGTTAAGATGAGTTCATAAAATATTAAATTAGGTGTTAGGGGGAAATTTTCCACATAGAGGGCAGTGGAGGCACTGGCACAGGCTGCTCAGAGAGCTATGATGCCCCATCTCTTGAGGTGCTCAAGGCCAGGTTGGATGGGGCCCTGGGCAGCCTGAGCTGGTAGGGGGCAACCAGCCCACAGCAGAAGGTTCAAACTAGCTGAACTTTAAAGTCCTTCCCAACTCAACTCTATGATTCTGTGATAAAGAACTAAGAAAAATGTGCAGGCGTAGAGATGTCTTGGGCAACTGGAATAAATCTGTAGAGATAGTCATCATGGAGGGAAATTAATTGCTCCAGGAAACAGGAAGCCACAACAAAGAGTAATGGGGGAAATTGAAGTGGTGTCTTTCTGACATCAACAGTCCATAGTCCAGAAGTCTAACTGAGACAAAGCAGTGAGCAACAACCACAGGAGGTTGGGCAGTGTACAGCCCTACCTGTGGCCTCTTGCTGCTTACTTGGTCTTCATAACCATGTACTGTGCCCACAGGTCATAAGTGTGCCCGAGGGAGATTTCTTCTTTGACTTTGTGAGACACCTGACAGACTGGATAAAGAAAGCAAGACCAGCAAAAGATGGTAACAGTGCCTTTTCTCCATTGTGGGTCACACACAGTCCTACGTGAGCCCTCTAGTCCTATCAAAGGAGGCTGACTGCCATTTGTCACATCCATTGGGCCATTGCTGTGGCTGTGCTGACATCACCTGGGAGACGTCACCTGGGAGATGAGGAGATGGTCTCTCTGGTGCTCACAGCATTGTTCTGATATCTGCTCCCTGCTTCTTTTGTGCAGGTATAGTGCCTTCTCTCACCTACCAAGTGTTCTTCATGAAAAAGCTGTGGACCAACACAACTCCTGGAAAGGATTCAATGGCAGATTCGATCTTCCACTATTATCAGGTACTCTAGGAATCTGAAATAGCAGTGGAGACTTTGGGAGGTTTTAAGATGGAATTGAAAGACTGACTATGTGAAGGTGAAGACTTGCATTAAACAGAACATTTTAGGTAGTCTCTTCGGCTGGGAAATGTGCTAGATATTCTTGAGCAAGTAGCAAGAAGTGGGAGAGTATGTCCTGCTAGCATCCCCAGCAGGGAGGCCAAATTCAGAAGCATTCTGAAGATTGCCTGCTCTTCCATTCTTCAAGATGAGCTATGATGGCTTCAAAAGCCATAAAATTTTTTGGTACACCTGCATGTCACAAAGCTCTCTCATAAACAAATGCAAGCACACATCTGTTCCCTGTGTTTCTGTCTTGATCAAGCAATTTTCCCAATGTCACCATATCCCCTAATGCTTTCATAGTTTCTTATATAACAGTTTTTCAAACATCTCCTGGTAATGGTGGATTTCCAGTGACAGGGAGACTGAACAAGACTATATATACACACATAAGTTATCTAGTAAAAGAACCACCCTGTGCTATATTACAGGAAGCTTTTTTAGATCAGAGATCTTTAGACAACCTCCATTTACCAGCAGAGAATGAAGGTCTGGGGTCACCATCCCTGAATTGCTGTCTCTCCTATACAGGAGTTACCAAAGTATCTACGTGGTTACCACAAGTGTACACGGGAAGAGGTCCTGCAGCTGGCAGCTCTCATCTATCGAGTGAAATTTGAGGATGACAAGTCCTATTTCCCTAGCATCCCTAAGCTCCTGAAGGAGCTGGTGCCTCAGGACCTCGTCCGGCAGCTCTCTCCAGATGACTGGAAACGGGTAAAACAGCAGCTTTATTCATATGTCAATCTAGGCTTGGGGAAGCCCACCATCTTGTGTCACTTGTCTGATGTTCAGCATTGAAGCGGTGTTGCCAGAATGAGTGACCTGTGGTCCTTCTCGAGCCTTAGCAGAGCACGGCTCCCCATCAGCACCAAGAGGAGGAATTGTACATGTGTGTTTGGATGGGCAAGTCTAGAACATAGAAAAATATAGATGTCTTTCTGCCAAGAAACAGTCTTATAAGTATTTTCTCTTTCCTAGGATTTGAACTCAACCATGTACCCAACCAACAATTTGTTGGTTTCTTCAGTAGAAAGTCCCTCTGTCCCCTCTGCTTCATAAATTGGAGATCAAAACTTACAGTCCCTACAGTAGAGTTACCAGCATGGCTCATCAAAGAAAGGAGGACCAACTTTGGTTCCAGGTTTTGTTCCAGTGGAAGCATTCATTGGTGCAGAGACTGAAATCAACACTTATATAACTTCTTGGTGGCTATCCCAAAACTTGCCAAAAAACACTCTGTAGGTTAGAATTTAGTGCAGAGAGAACAGTTTGTAGGTTTACCATACACTGTGGTTTGTTAATAGATCTCAATGAAAGCCAAATTGCTATGTGAAGCAGTTATGATTTCTGGTAGGATAGTCCATGTTTGTGGCATGATGCTCCTTCCCTGGAGAATTTCATGGTACTAGGCAATGCAGACTCTCTAGCTCTACTGTCTTCTCTGTTGCAGTCCATTGTGGCATACTACAATAAGCATGCAGGCAAAACAAGAGAAGAAGCCAAGCTTGCCTTCCTAAAGATTATCTTCAAGTGGCCTACATTTGGATCAGCATTCTTTGAAGTGAAGGTACTTGCCCTTCTTGGAGTTTTCCTGACAGCTTCCAGGCATGTAGGGTTGTCCCAGTATCTGGGCTGAACTGGACAGGAACTACTCCGATGAGACAGGGAAAGAATGTGAGATTCAGTAATTTGTGGCTGCCCTATCGCTTTACAATACTGAGTCACTGTAGAGCACCATTGTATCTCAGTCATCTTTGGGTCTGTCCTCACAGCTGTACCAAAGAGGCAGCCAAAGAGGCAAGAGCCATTCTGTTTTGTGAAGGGAAAAGGGAACATGCAGTTTTCCACATGATGTGTCTGCAAACACCATGGACCAAATCTGGCAGTACATCCCATGCTGGCACAGGGCTGGAAGAAGTGTTTACCAGCATTAATTAAACTGAAAATAAAGATCAGAAAAGGACAGAACAGTTTAGTATTGGCCAAAGGGTCCACAGCAGCAGTCAAGAGGAGGAGAAGAGTCCCAGACAAAGGGACTGCATAGAAGATAGTTAAGTCTGACAGTTTGCCATCCTGCCCCAGCTCTTCCTTTCCAATGGTGGGATAGCTTGAGTTTTGGAGATGTTGAAGAGGAGCAAGGAACTTCATACTTTCTGTAGCTCACACAAAAGCAGGTCCATAGGAGATCTGTAATTGTGACAGCCCAGACTATTACCAATACCTTAAAGGTTTCTATCTTTAAATCATTAACTGGATAGCAGTTAATGAGCCAGCAGATGCTGGCAGGAGAAGATAGACAGAGGGGAAAAAGGAAATGATTTTGCTTAACACTTCCCCTGATCAGCTCATCTCATCTCATTTCCAACAGCAAACTACAGAGCCAAATTATCCAGAAATCCTTCTAATTGCCATCAATAAACATGGAGTCAGCCTCATCGATCCCAAAACCAAGGTAAGACTGAGATCTTCACTAGATGCCCTTGAGCCAACAGCCCAAAGGCTGTGTTATTTAGAGATACAGGAGATCTCATTAAGCCTAGTTTGAACAACTGAATAGCCAGAAAAGATCCTGGAGAAGAATTGAGAGCAGCAACTCTTTGAGCCCTGTAAATGGAGAATACACATACTCCTTCCTTGATCTTTTCACAGACATTAGGACTGGAGCTGGAGTACATGAGTTCCTACTAGGTACTTCCACCAGCCAAATGGTTTTTCCAGAACAGCCATCCTCCACAAGCACTGGAGGCTCCACAGTCTTGCACCTCAATGCTGTTCCTATGAGGCCATGGTACAGTCTTATTTCAACAAACATCCTTAGTCTGCTTTGAAGGAGAGAGAACAGGGACATGGAAGGTCCCCATGACCTTCATAAAAGTTGAGGCTCTTGTGTGTTAACTGTCAGCCTTGTGTTCCCATTAGGATATTCTCATCACTCATCCCTTCACCAAGATCTCCAACTGGAGCAGTGGCAACACGTACTTCCATATAACAATTGGCAACCTGGTGAGGGGAAGCAAGCTGCTCTGCGAGACATCCCTGGTAAGGAGGATTAAAGATTATGGCACACACTTAGAGCAAATTCTGACATTGGCAGGCCAAAATTAAATGCTTCCAGTAAGCTGTGTCTCAGAGATTCTCTGAGTTGCAGGTGGTCTCAAAAATGAGCCTCCATAGTTGTTTGTTTCTTCTGGATTTCAGCACTGTAAGGTTACTATCTCCATAACACCCTTTTTTAAATGTGGGTTAGACATCAAGTATTGGGATGTGTCAGGTATGTAAGGTCTCACCTCCACCTGTGCATCCGTGCAAGGTTTTACCAGGGCTCTCATTGGGTTCATCATCCAAGTTACAGGCAAGCCTGAGGTGCTTGGGGCATTGCCACCCCATGAGCATGGGATTCTTCTCCATGCCATTAGAGTGAAAAGCGTCACATCTTACAGTAGGAGGCTGCCCAGGGAGGTGGTGGAGTCACCATCCCCAGAGGTGTTCAAGAGCCATGAAAATGTGGCACTGAGGGACATGGTTAGTGAGCATGGTAGGGTTGGACAAGATGGTCTTAGTGGTCTTTTCCAACTTTTATGATCCTATGAAAGCAGATATGGGTTCAAGGGTTGTACTTTTACAAAGGTCTTTTGTCAATCTCGTCCCTACTAACAGTCACAACAACAAAAAAAACTGCCTAGCAAATCTTAAACCCAAAGAATGAAGGATAAAAATTTATGCCAGGTTTATTGTTATTAATTTTGGACATCCTGTTTATCATTGCCCATTTGAAAATCTACTCCCTTTCCAAAGCTCTGAACATCAGTAGCATCCTGAGAGAGTTTCACACTGCAAATAGTTTGGCCTTTTATCCTTGTGTCAGGGTCATGACACCCAAGGAGAATGGTGGAAAAGAGGGAAAAAAAGAGAGGGAAGTACACCTGGACACATGTAAATCTATAACATATAGCAAGTGTGTTGATGAGGAATAAGCCAGAGATTAAGTTTTGCTATAAGGACATGTAAGAACTTCTCTCTCTTCACCAGGGCTACAAGATGGATGATCTTCTGACCTCATACATCAGCCAGATGCTAACAGCCATGAGCAAACAGAGGAGTGCAAAGGGTAGCAAGTGAACTGCAAGAAGCCGCTGGCACGTGGTCATGGGGCTAATTCACCAGCTGAGGGCTGTGGGATACCCATGCAGCTGGGGGAGAACCTTTGCCTCCCAGATGTGGAAGATGAGCCGAACACCATCAGGGAGCTCACTGGACTCTGACCTTGAGGGCTCCAATCCCACCACCCCTTCCAGCGAAGATGACTATCTCTGACCTCCCATCTTTCCTCCCCATCCCGACTACACCTGGACCTCAAAGAATTCCAGAGAACAACACTGCTCTCAAACAATGACTTGAGCAAAAAGACTCTGGCAGGAGGTTTGCCTGGACCCAATGGCTGGCATCGCAAAGGTTCTGGGAAGAGGATTTGTGTGTGTGTGTGTGTGTGGCTTGGTTTGGTTTGGTTTGTGTTGTGTTTTTTTTAAGTGACGAGACAACAGTTGGGATGCTAATGCCTTTTGGTGATCTTATGGACATTCTAGGTTTGAAGACAAGTAGCAGAGACCCAATCCATCCTGGAAAGGTGTCCAGTGAACACCGCAGGGCTTGTTTTTTGTTGTTAAAAAAGAATACACTGTGTTCTCAAGGACAGAAAGAGAAAGCAGGCTGGGAGGAGCACATTTTAACTACAAATCAGAATAAACAAACCACTGATCGAACATGTTAGAACATTAAAGTGCTGTCTGTGCAATGCTGGAAATATTTAACGAACAAATTTTAAAGTTTTGTTTCTTCTTCTATTTATTTTTTAAAATATTAAAAAGAAAGAAATCTTGCATTTTGTGCCGATATCTGGACAATGCCTTGGGGCTGAGGTCGACCTGCAGGACAATCCCTCACCCAAGGATTCCCCTGGAAACATGACTGCCAGCATCTAAGGCACATCTGTCCCAGTTAAGAGCTCAGCTGGAAATGAAGCGTGGAAGATGAATTACCTCCTTTTGCCTCATGTCCAGACAAGTTAACCCTGGGAGGATCTTTTCCACAAGCTTCAGTATGGATGTGGGGGTTTTGGAGTTCCCACTCTTGGAAGACTATGATCAAGCCCATGTGCAGAAAGGATTCTGACCTTAACGGGGACTTGGACATCAACATTGGAAACAGCTAATGATTAGCTAATGATTTTGTTGTGCTTTTGTGTGTGTCACTGTATAAAATGGCTCTCTACCAGCCCCAGCTGGAGCCTGAACCACTCACAAGCAAGGCAGGCCCTTGGTCTCAGTGGGCTTTTCTCTGTCTTCGGTTGACCATACTCATCTGCTGGGTGCTTGTCTCATCTTCCACCCAGCAGCATGCAGTGTGGAGCAGCTGGACCGGAGATGGGACCTGCCAGCAGAAAGGAGGCTAACCCACACTGTGTGGGGAAGAACAGAGGGGAAGGGGCATGGGGTGCCTTTCCAAAATCCAGGCTTCAAAGGATCAGGTGCCTGGGTACATGGTACCAGGAGATATGAGAAGTGTCCACCAAGATGTGATGCTGTTGTCACTAATGCTGAGTGGCTCCCAGTAGATGTGAGAAAACTCTCTTGGTCCTGTGCATTGGGCTGAGCTCAGCTGCACTCATAGAAGTCAATACTGTATGGTACCATGTGTTGCTGGAGCTCAGCTGGGCTCGGTTCCTCAACACCATGGCACTGCTTGTTGAACCACAAGGACAAAAGCATGTGGCTGGGATGCAGCAGTGACATTGGACCTTGGTTTTTCTCCCAAAGCAAACACAATGCTGCATGGAGACATTCACCCACTGGACAGAGCTGCCACGAGATCCCCTTCCTTCAACCTCTCCCTGCCCGTGGCACTTTGTTGATGGGATTGTGGTAACACCAGCTAAGGCTGCACTGGGAGCCTTGTCTCCCAACAACCATCTCCAATGCTCTTCCTCCCTCCCTAGCTGCCATGATCTGGCTGGCCCAGGGATCCCACTCACTCCTAGACAAGTTTTCATTATCCTTACCACCACCACCACAACTTTCTTGAGTTTCCTGCCATCTTTGCCTCTCCCCACAAGCTCAGTACACATCGTAGAAATGTTTTTCAGTGCTGTCCTGGGGAGCTCTCCCCCTCAGAACTCCCTTGTCCCCTCATTCACAGCTCTGTTGGCCTCCCATACACCCTATCACTTTGGGGGTGCTGGGACTCTGTGTGTGTGTGCCTGTGTGTCATATGTATTAGCATCTGCTGGCCTCTTTGTATTTACACGAAACGATGTAACATGCAAAAACATATGTCCAAGTGAAATACTCTAATTAAAAGGCATAAAGTGGCTTGTGGGAGGCTGTTCTGCACTGTGTGGTTGTGGTACCTCCAGGGGTGGAAGAGTGGGATCAGGGCTCTCCCTCATTAGGGAAAGGACTTCTCTTTGTGTAGTGGGACTCCTGGTGAGAATATCCAGTGATGGGGAGCATGTCATCAGTGTGCCTTGGCATTTAAGGACATCATTTAATGAGCATGGTAGTGATGGGCTGACGATTGGACTTGATCATCCTGGAGGTCTTTTCCAACCTTTCTGATTGTGTGATTCTGTGATAAATGAAATCTCTTTGGGCGAAACCCACTGGAGCCTTAGGAGTTTCCACTGTTTATTCTCTAAGACAAGGCCTGGATCCTCCACAAAGGCAAATTTTGAGCTGAATCTCTGGATATAGGAAGTGCTGGGTCAAGAGAACAAGAGGTAATGACCTTAAGTTGCACCAGCAGAACTTCAAGTTGGTATTAGGAAAAATATCAGAGTGGTAATGCACTGGCACAGGCTGCCCAGAGTGGTGGTAGAGTCACCATCCTTGGAGATGTTTAAAACTGTGGAGATGTGACACTGAGGGACCTGGATAGTAGGCATGGTGGGCATGGGTTGGGGTTGAACTTGGTGATCTTAGAAGTCTTTTCCAACTATAATGACTCTATGATTGTATGAAAAGTTTCCGTGAGGAATTCAGACCACCATTCACGTGCTTAATGGTGTTACCAGGACATGCTAGCTGGGAAGCAACAAAAATAGCTGTGTAGCTGAGACACAACAGAGCTCAGGATGACTGTTATGGGTCAGCCTGGGACACACTGAGGAGACCACAGCAGTCGAGGGACCACAGCCTGTCCCAACCACATCCCTCACCTGGAGCACCCCATGGAGCACACCACCACCCAGTCCAAACGCCTTCAGCTCTTATTTTTCTGCTCATGCATCTGCATCTGGGTGGTACCCACAAAAGCTGTGTACCAGCTACGGGTGCAGAGTATGAGGAGGGGATTTAACACCATCATTAGCATCCTCCGCATGCTCTATAGATCTGGAGCTGTTCTACAGCAATCCTTTAGCTTTCTTCAGAGGAAGCTAGTGTCTTTTTGCATTTCTAGCCTCCAAAATACTCGAAAATTTCAAACTTGGAAAGGTTCAGCACTTCTCAGCAGTATTAAGTTTGAAACCTCGCACTTCCCTTTCACATTTCACTAATGATACAGGTTTATTTAGCAAAAACATTCTGCTGAATGAGGCTTATATATGAAAAGATGCCTGTGGTCTGATTTTGGTGAAGATTACTATGTTCTTCCCCTTTCCTTGTCTGCTGGAATAAGAACAAAAGAGGATAGGAGAGCCAAAATGTATTTAAAGCTGCACTTGCAATTTACAAAATAATAATAATTGTTAAAAAGTGTTCTTATTAACTGTTCAAGTACAAATTTATGGCTTAAACCTGGGAGATGCTCAGTTCTCCTTTGCAGAGCAGAGTATAGTTTTCCTTCCCCGTGTGCCAGAAGACACTGGGAGAAATGAAAACTGAACAAATCCCAGGATACAGAGTAGGTATAAAGACCTTCCACAAGGGAAAAGAAGACAGGACACTTGGTGGAACCAGTTCACATGCAACAAAACGAAGAAAAGTGTTGTGATCTTGGTTGTAGTTCTGGTAATTACTTGGCCAAGGCACCAAAACTCCTTTTGCATTCTTGGGGAATTCTCTCTCCCTGAAAGTCAGGGTGAGGAGACTGTCCCATTTGGACTAATGGGATGACTAGAGGAAGGAAAAGAAAAACCTGCCCGTCTGTATTAAGGAATGTTACAGACCCTGCTGAACCATCCACCAGCACCTGACCATCGTGGTGGGGCTGGTGTGCTCTTGGGCTGAAGAAGACCCATGAGGAGAAAGGGGCTATGGGGACTGGGGAAACATGGGCAGCCAAGGACAAGGAGGACCAGAGGGTGCTCAGATTGATTACCCTCTGAGATGCCAAAGGTCTCAAAGAGAAATGGTGGCTACTACATGGGTACTGCTAGAGAGGTTTAACCACTGTGCTGCACAGCTCACAGCTGCAATCCCATGTGTGCTTCCCTTCACCCTTGGGATCCCTGCCAGGCATGAGATGATGAGGAAAGCAGGGAGAGAACTCAGTGCTCATCTCCATCAGGACCGTGATGACAAATGGCTCCTTCTTGATAGGAGCCCACTGGCCCCTCTTGGCAGGCTGGATTTGCACTGTAGGAAGAGTCAGCAAGTGATGCTCCAATCTCCGGATCTCAGCGAGATGGCAGTTCTGCATCCTTCCTGCCCACATCAGGCTATGACGGTTGGCATGTTGCTAAGCTCTGGAAAAGAGGGCACACAGTAAGCTATTGAAATACTGAAATACCGAGACAGCTTGGTCCTAAATGCTTGCAAACGAGGTTGGGTCATTTTGTCTGCTTCTTTGGTTCAGAAACCTGGAGTATGGAAGCATCTCAGAGGTGCCCAGAGGTGTGGTGGACGCCCTGCCCCTGAAGACTTTCAAGGTGAGGCTGGATCAGGCTCTGGGCAACCTGATCTAGCTGTGCATGTCCCTGTTCATTGCAGGGGAGTTTGACTAGATGACCCTTAAAGGTCCCTTCCAACTCTAAGGATTCCACAATCTCCAAAACGTATTATTAACGTATATTATAGAATATAGCATCTAATGTATATTAGATGTTTGCAGACAATGATAAGATGCATCTTGAACTCCTTTCTCAGTGCATAAATTCATCTCTTAAACACCTCAAGCTCCAGCCCTGACCAGGTTGGTGGCCCCACTGGGCTCAGTTCTGTCTGAGCACCATCACCCACCCATTAGTTATGCTCCACGGTTACCTCCCCAAGCAGAATCCAACTCCTGCCCCTCCTCACCCACTCACCTGTCCTGAACTTGTTGTAGGTGCCAGTCTCCAGCATCGGGTCACCTTCATGGGCACAGCAGGAGAAGCTCCGCTCTCGCCACCTGCAAGGGGCAAAGTGCCTGGGTCAGCTCTCTGTAGCCTTGGTCACATTATTCTCCTTTGTTAGGGCTGGAACTGCCCAGTTATTTGGGGATTTGCTCAGGTCTTTAGTGAGAAAGGAGCCTGGTGGTGCTTAAGTATCCACACTTCACATGAGCAATAGCATTTTGAGGGCAACTTTGTGACTAAGCCCTGTTTTCTAGGAAAGATTTAAAGAATGACAGTCCTTATTTTGCAGCCTTTGGTTCCTAAGCAGACAAAGACATTTAAAATTTGTGAGTTCAGTGGACTCATGAATCTGATCAACCAGATCACATAGGTCCCCTGGGCACAGCTGATGGCCCTGTGCCCCCAGAAGCACTGGGAAAGCCCTTCCTGCAATGGCAGCCCAGAAGAGACTTCTTGGATAGATCAGAACCATCTGCAAGGTCCTGGGAAATGCAAAGACAACATGGAGAAGCACATGGAAGGGAGCCTGGAGGAGATGGGGATGGGAAGATCTAGAGATGGCAGTAATGTATTGCATGGGTGTGGTCATTTCAAGCCATCTGCTGCAGCCTTGGAAGCAAAGTGAAAGATGCTATAGCAAGACTTGGGTCAGGACTGCAGAAAGCAAAGCAGGGTGAGTGGTTTCTGATCCAACCATGGTGCATCCAGCACCCTGATCCAAGTTTCCCCAATAATCAAACACAGATAAAGTCATGGGCAGCACAAAAGCAAAGAAAACAAAGTGCTGTGCACACTCAGGTGTTCTCAGCTGGGAGAATAGATTTCCTCATTGACTTTGACATGTGTAGACAGAGAGACATGGGGGGCACAAATATCAAATGAGAGCTTTCCACCTAATGCTTAAAGTCCTAATATCTAAAGTCCTAATCTAAATAGTAAGAATAGAAGAATCAATTCCTTTTCTAGTCCATCAGCTTTGATAACTTATTTCTGTTGCTACTCTAAACCCACCACATCTACATTGAATCCTTCAGGTAGATGAAGCCTGAGTTGCCAAAAGGAAAGAAAAACAGGAAAGCAAGCAGGAGAGGTTTTTGGAGATTTTCAGGGCACGTCTTTGTTTGTTTGTTTGTTTTTTAATAATTCTTGAAGAAGAGCAATTTTAACCCTTCAGTACACCATAAGCATCCCTCCATTTTTCTGCCAAGGGCAACAAATCAGGTTAGAAGGTGGTGGAGCCAGGAGTTGGACATGGTGATCCTCATGGGTCCCTTCCAACACGGGATATTCTATGATTCTGTGAACTCGGTAGTTACCAGTGCAGAGCAAAGATGAGTGAGATGAGAAGCAGTGAGGTCAGGTCTGTCAGGATCCACATGATGTTGTACTGCCGTGGTGTCTGGAAGAGAACAAGAGAGGATACGTCCAACATCACAGATACTGAAGCATGCAAAAAAGCTGCTCAAGCTTCTTCTTACTGCTTGGCAATGGCAATTCAGCTCCCTGGTGTGCATGTGAAGTGATATCTTCCAGGTGTTTAAAGCATTTGGAAGCATTTGGAAGTGATCACTTGCCACTGAGTGCAGGTGCCAAGCCATCATCCTGTGTAAAAATTGATCCATTGGGTGTCCATGGAGACTGGATTGCATTGCAGTGAATACAGCAGGGACTCCTTGTTTGTCCTTACAACATTAATATCAATTGATGGCATCTGTTCCCCCCAAAAAAAACTCACAAAACTGTCCTTGAGTGAATACCACTGAGGGGCTGGGGTAGCTCCTGCTTTAAGCCTCGGATTTGCCCTCAGATTGGACCTCAGAAGGGATGAAAATGATTCAGTTTTCTGAATGAGAGATGGGAGCATTTTAAAACCCACTTCAAGAGTGTGAAACTAGTTATTCCAAGTGGTATGATGCAGGGACTCTGGTGAGAACATGGTACTCCTCAGCCCTACAGATCGTCCAAGGCAGAATAAAGGATGGAAAAGGAACATGAAAAGCTCCTCCCAGCAAGGAGGGGTTACCCCTATGCTTTTTTCCCTTTGGCTTGTGACATCTGACCAAATTTGAAAAGGAATGTAAGAGTTCCTGGTCATTAGG